GGACTCACAAAATAAAAGAATATAAAGTATGACATCATATTCCTAAAATATGATGGGGGAGAGGAGTAAAGAATGGGTTCAAACTTTTGCAACCCTCAATATAGACTGCTATATGCAGAAGATGTTATATACAAACCTAATGGTAACCACAAATCAAAAACCAGTAATAGATATGCAAAAATAAGGAAAAATAAATCCAAGTATATCATGAAAAAAAAGCCAACTTATTGTGAGAAGAAAGCAAAAGAAGAAAAGAACAGAGAAGAACCACAAAAACAACCATAAAACAAGTAACAAAATGACAATAAGTACATAATGATCAATAATTCCTTTGAATGTAAATGGACTAAATTCTACAATCAAAGCATAGGGTGATGGAATGGTTAAAAAACAAGACCCGCGCTACCTGGGTGGCTCAGCGGTTTAGCGCCGCCTTTGGCCCAGGGCGTGATCCTGGAGACCCTGGATCGAGTTCCGCATCGGGCTCCCTGCATGGAGCCTGCTTCTCCCTCTGCCTGTGTCTCTGCCTCTCTGTCTCTCTCTGTGTCTCTCATGAATGAATGAATGAATGAATGAATAAATAAAATCTTAAAAAAACAAACAAGACTCATCTATATGCTGCCTATAGGAGACTCATTTCAGACCTAAAGACACATACAGATTGAAAGTGAAAGAATGGAGAAATATTTATCATGCAAATCGGTGTGAAAAGAAAGCCAGAGTAGCAATACTTATATTGCACAAAATAGACTTTAAAACAAAGACTGTAACAAGAGGCCAAGGAAGGACATTACATAATCATAAAGAGGAGAATCCAACAAGAGGATATAACAATTGTAATATTTATGCACCCGGCATGGGAGCACCAAAATATGTAAAACAGATAGAGGAAGTAATCACTAGAAATACAGTAATAGTAAGGAACTTTAACATCCCACTTACATCAATGAACACATGACCCAAACCCAAAATCAACAAGGAAACAGTGGCTTTGAATGACACATTGGACCAGATGGGTTTAACAGACATATTCAGAACATTTTATACTAAAACACCAGAATACACATTCTTTTCAAGTGTACATGAAACATTCCCCAGAATAGATAACATTAGGCCACAAAACAAGTCTCAACAAACTAAAAAGATTGCAGTCATACCATTCATCTTTTCTGACCACAATACTATGAAACTAGAAATCAACCTCAAGATAAAATCTGGAAAGAGCACAAATACATGGTGGTTAAATAACATGCTACTAAACAATGAATGGGTCAACCAAGAAATCAAAGAAGAAATCAGAAAACACAAAGAGAGAAATGAAAATGAAAACACAATGGTCCAGAATCTCTGAGATGCAGCAAAAGCTATTCTAAGAAGGAAATTTATAGCAATACAGACCTACCTCAAGAAGCAAGAAAAATCTAAAATAAATGACCTAAACAAGCTAGAAAAAGAAGAACAAACAAAACCCCAAACCAGTATAGGGAAGGAAATGATAAAGATTAGAACAGAAATAAATGAAATAGAAACAAAAGACAATAGAACAGATCAATGAAACTAGGAGTTAGCTTTTGACGAGATCAATAAAACTGATAAACTTTTAACCAGACTCATCAAAATAAAAAAGTGGGGTTTTTTTGGTTAAAAAAGTTTTTTTTTGTTTTTTTTTTTTATGATAGTCACACAGAGAGAGAGATGGCAGAGACATAGGCAGAGGGAGAAGCAGGTTCCATGCACCGGGAGCCTGACGTGGGATTCGATTCTAGTCTCCAGGATCGCGCCCTGGGCCAAAGGCAGGCGCCAAACCGCTGCGCCACCCAGGGATCCCGGTTAAAAAAGTTTTTAAAGAAAGGGGACTCAAACAAAATCAGAAATGAAAGGGGAGAAATATCAACCAACACCACAGAAATACAAAGGATTATAAAAAATACTATGAAACATTATATGCTAACAAATTGAACAACCTAGGAGAAATGGATAAATTCCTAGAAATTAAATTCCTAGAAGTTATATTCCATATAACCTCCCAAAACTGAATCAGGAAGAAATAAAAAAATTGAACAGACCAATTACCAGGAATGATATTGAACCAGTAATAAAAAAAAAAAAACTCCCAAGAAATGAAAGTCCAGGACCAGATGGCTTCACAGGTGAATTCTACCAAACATTTAAAGAAACTATTCCAAAAAATAGAAGAGGGAGGAAAACTTTCAAACTGATTCCATGAAGCCAGCATTACCCTGATACCAAAACCAGATAAGGACACTACAGAGAGAGAGAGAGAGAGAGAGAGAGAACTACAGGCCAATATCTCTGAACATACATGTAAAGATCTTCAACATATATTAGCAAACTGAATCAAACAATACATTTAAAAAATCATTCACCATGATCAAATGGGGTTTATTTCTGGGATACAGGGGTGGTTCAATATTTGCAAATTAATCAACATGATACATCACATCAATAAGAAAAAGGATAAAAACCATATGATAATTTCAATAGATGCAGACAAAGCATTTGACAAAGTACAACATCCATTCATCATAAAAAAAAAAACCTCCACAAAGGAGATTTAGAGAGAACGTATGTCAATATAATAAAGACCATATATGAAAAACCCACACCTAATGTCATACTCAATGGTGAAAAATAATGAGAACTTTTCCCTTAAGTTCAGGAACATGCTTATGTTCACTCTCACTACTTTTACTCAACATATTACTGGAAGTCATAGTCACAGCTATCAGACAAGAAAAAGGAATAAAAGGTCGGTAAGGAAGAAGTAAAGCTTTCACTATTTGCAGATGACATGCTACCATATATAGAAAACCCAAAAGACTTTGCCAAAAAAGAAAACTGCTAGAATTAATAAATGCATTCAATGTGGTTGCAGGATATAAAAATCAATGTACAGAAATCAGTTGCATTTCTATACACTAATAACAAAGCATCACAAAGAGAAATTAATGGGCAGCCCAGGTGGCTCAGCGGTTTAGCGCCGCCTTCAGCCCAGGGTGTGATCCTGGATACCTGGGATCAAGTCCCACATCAGGCTCCCAGCATGGAGCCTGCTTCTCCCTCCATCTGTGTCTCTGACTCTCTCTCTCTTTCAAGAATAAATAAATAAAATATTTTTTAAAAAAAGAGAGAAATTAAGAAAACAATTTAATTTATAATTGCACCAAAAATAATAAAATACCTAGAAATAAACTTAACCAAAGAGGTAAAAGAATTGAACTCTGCAAACTATAAAACACTGATGAAAGAAATTGGAATAACACAGAAAAATGGAAAAATATTCCATGCTCATGGATCGGAAGAACCAATATTGTTAAAATGTCCATACTACCCAAAGTAATCTAAAGATTTAATGCAATCCCTATCAAAATGTCACCAGCATTTGTCACAGGACTAAAACAAGAATCCTAAAATTTGTATCCATACAAATCCATACCACAAAAGACCCCAAGAAGCCAAAGCAAGCTTGAAAAAGAAAAAGACTGAAGTATTGTAATTCCAGATTTCAAAGCTGGAATTATACTGCAAAGCTGTAGTTATCAAAACAACATAGTACTGGCACAAAAAAAAAAGCCATATTGATCAATAGAACAGAATAGAAAACCCAGAAATAAACCCATAATTATACAACAATTAATCTTTGACAAAGGAGGCAAGAATATGCAATGGGGAAAAGATAGTCTTTTCGACAAATGGTGTTGGGAAAACTGACAGCTACATGCAAAAGAATGAAACTGGACCACTTTCTTACATCATATACAAAAATAAATTCAAATGGATTAAGGACCTAAATGTGAGACCTGAAACCATAAAAATCCTAAGAGAGAGCCACAAGCAGTAATCTCTGATATCAGTTGTACCAATATTTTTCTAGATATGTCTTCTGAGGCAAGGGAAACAAAAGCAGAATTAAACTTTCGGGATTACATCAACAAAGCAAAACAAAAACCAAGCTTCTGCACAGCAAAAGAAACAATTAACAAAACTAAAAGGCAACTTGTGGAATGAGAAAAGATATATGCAAATGATATATCCCATAAAAGGTTAGTATCCAAGATTTATAAAGAACTTCTACAACTTCACACACACACACAAACAACTAATCCGATTAAAAATAAGACATATTTGAAATCATGCAGATGGCTAAAAGACACATGAAAAGATGCTCAACATCACTCATCATCAGAGAAATGCAATTTAAAACTACAATGAGATATCACCTCACACCTGTCAGAATGACTAAAATAAAAAAGACAGAACACAACAAGTTTTGGTGAGGATGTAGAGCAAAGGGAATTCTTGCGTACAGTTGGTGGGAATGCAAACTGGTGCAGCCACTATGGAAAACAGTATGATGTTTCCTCAGAAAATTAAAAATAGAACTATCCTATGATCCAGTAATCACACTACTGGATATTTACCCCCAAAATACAAAAACACTAATTTGAAAGATTATATGCACCATATATTTATTGCAGCATTATTTACAATAGCCAAATTAAGGAAGCAGCATGAGTGTCTACCATTAGATGAATGAATAAAGAAGATATGAGATACACACACACACACATATACGCATACACACATGCACACAGTGAAGTATTATTCACCTGTAAAAAAAATGAAATCTTGCTATTATAATAACATGGATGGATCTAGAGCATATAATACTAAGCAAAATAAGTCAAAGACAAATGCCATATGATCTCACTCATACATGGAATGGGTACTATACATACATACATACATACTATAAATCAAGGGACACCATGGGCTGCCAGGAAGAGATGTATGGAACAGATTCTCCTTCAGAGCCACCAGTAGGAACCAACCCTGCCGATACCTTGATTTGTAACTACCAGACTTTACCACCATATGAGAATATTATTTCTGTTGTTTGAAGCCACTCAGTTGTGGTACTTTGTTATGGCAGCCTTAGGAAACCAATACACCAATTTCAGGGGCTCCTTCCCACTGACCTCTAGGCAGTGCTGGATCCGAGAGGGCATCTCAACAGTAAGTGTCTCCATTAGCCTTAGTAGAGATTGCAGGGTCTCCCTGAACAAATCCTGAGGGGAGAAGAGAGAACTCAAAGAGTTGCTGAGATGTCAACCACATCTATGCTTCTAAACTTAGCTCAGTGCTCTAGCTCTCCTAGAAAGCTTCCTTGAGAAATTCTGCTCCGCAGGTCTCCCCCTAACATTTCAAGTGCTATTTTCTCCACTATTAACTTGAACATATTCCTCTGTTGTTTTCAGCAGAGCACAAATGTCTGCCTGATGTGCAGTTTGTGCTAGTGGACTTGTAGTTCCCAGCTTCCCCCAAACATGGGCAAATCCTGTCATAATACCTTCCTTCCTTAACCAGACCTATACTGAGGAAGGCCTCATGGGAATACAATCAGAGTAAATCCACCTCAGCTTTCTTTTTATGTACCAGTCCTACCTTCATAACATAAATAAATGTGAACTAACAAAGAAGGACCACCAGACAGCTGATGAAAAGGCCTGAATAACTAAACAGATCAACTGACCCTAAAGAAAACTAAATTAATTCAGTAAATATAAACTTCTATTTTTAAATATTCTTATTAATATCCTCAAAAAAAATCAAGAGTTGTGGCATCAATAAAACAAGACCAATCAAGGTAAAGGAGTAAACAGAGAACATGAAAGAATTCCTAGGAATTAAACATGCAAGTGTAAATTAGAAAAGTGAATTCCTCTTCCATCTCTCAAGGAAACACTGTGGGCCCTCTGGAAAATGGATTCACCTCTCTTGCACCTGGAATGCTCTGAACTTATTTACCCATGGGCCTTTAGGAAAATCATGTTTGAACCTTCCAATCTGGTCTCAATTGTACAACAGTTAAAAATGAAAGAATTGAGTGTCCACCTCTGGGCCAGAATAGTAAAGTGGTGATAGTGGTAATCAGTGAGTACTCTCAAGAAGGAAGTACATCTCGTGAGTAGTGTTCAGACTTTAAAATCTAGTAACTTCTTTGAATGATTATGTTTTTATCAAATAAGGTGGAAGAGCCTTACATGTAACCACCAAACCTATACTTCTCATCCTCTCAAAAATAAAAGCTGAATAAAATGAGACAAACATCAAAGAGTTAATTACCACAGTGGCCTGGGCCTCCTGCAAACTGGATGCCTCCTTCTGTAAAACTTCTGTGGGTGGCAGGCAGAGCACACTCTTATAGCATGTTCGGAGTAGCTCTGTTCTTTCTTCCAATTCCATGAGGGGATGGAGCTTCCTAAGATCCAAGAAGAAGTAGCAAACATGTAACCAGACATCAATGGCCAGGAAAAACAGCTGAGGAAGGGCAGAGAGAGATGGTGGAGACAGAGGGACAGGTGATAATAAGAAATTACCAGAAGAAAAAGTAACAAAAGAAGAAAAGGAGTTAACAGTAAGAAAAGTTTTAAAACGCCAGGAAGGGGCAGCTGGATGGCTCAGTTGGTTAAGCATCTGCCTTCAGCTCAGGTCATGATCCCAGGGTCCTGAGATTGGCCGTACATCGGGCTCCCTGCTCCATGGGGAGCTTGCTTCTCCCTCTCCCTCTGCTGCTCCCCCTGCTTGTGCTCTCTCTCTCTCTCTTTCTTAAATATTTAAAAAATAAAAATACCAGGAAGATGGAAAGAAAGGAACAAAGTGAAAGAGGAACTACTACAAAAGGGTACTGATATTTTGGGATGATATATCACTTTTTGGTTCCCCAAATATTTTGAGGGAACGAGGAGATGCTCAGTGATAGATATGGAGGTGTTTAGTCAGGGACAGCGCCGAAAGCAGAAGAAAGCCTGGACCAGAAGCAAGAGTAAATGTCTGTGCAGATGGGAGAAGCAGTCTCTGCCAGGTGCTCCAAAAATCCCACCCAAAAAACCTCGGCTAAAAAAAGGGGCAGACACTGTCCAGTAGATGTCTACTACGACCTGGACTTACTAGAAGCAGAAGCAGAAAATAAGAGGTGGGGACAGATCAGGAAATAAAGAACTGATATTTAGCCAGAGCGAGGAAGACAGAGTGGCTAACATTGTTACCTGAAGTCAGTAATGATGTTCATTGCCTTCAGCCTAATGGAGCTAGAGATGGAATTCAACGGCTCCTCCCTGATTAACTCCTGTAACACACCCATCCAATCCCCACCCCAGAGACCAACAGGTGAACGCGTTTTTTCTTGCCTTCCTCCCCCTCCTCCCAACCCAAGCTGTATTCACAAGAAACCGGAACCTAGAATTTTCAGGGACTTCCAAAGACTCTGAGGGATAGCACTTCTCTCCTACTCCCCACCATACCTTCCCCACAATACTCACAGCTACTTTGAGGATGGGAAAGGGAAAATTAGGTAGAAAAAGACACTGGTAAATCTGGACTTTTATTTTCCAGGCCAAGCCTAGGAGCATTGCCAATGGAAGTTCCATGAGGACCCATCCTCCCTCCTCTGTGCATTTCCACCTCCATCCTCCTAAATTGTACTTACCATCATGAAGGTTACAATTTCTAGTTTCTGAGGGAACTTGAATTGAAAGGCCATGGGGTGGCTGCTCAGGATGTTTGTTAGCTTGGTCAGGGCCTCCAGGTACTCCAGTTTCAGGTTCTTATCCTGAACCAACCAGTATGCTCAGAGATTTCCAAGGTAGGAATGATCCTGGGGCAAGGGAAACTACCTACACAAAAATCTGGGAGATGAGAAGCTAAGGCATCTATAGCCTCCCCTAGGCTGAGATCCTGCATCTTCCCTCTGTGGTGTCTTTATGGGGGAAGGGGCATCCCTCTTAATAACCTCTTTCTGGAGCTTCCATCTCATATTTACTCTTAAATTAGGATAGATATAGCTAGCTTCCTTATCTCTCAAGTTATTGTCTTTTTACTAAGTTCTCCTGAAAGATATCTAGTTGGATGATAAATGAACAGGAAATGGGAAAGACTTCTTATCCTACCCTCAGGGCACATGCTCTGGACAAATGGCAAAGGCAGGAAAAATATTTAGGGGCTCCCTCTTACCTCCCCTGAAGTAATTGTAATAGCTCCACTCCCTAGTTCCATTCAAGGCCAGGCATCATTTTTTTGGAGGGGAAGGGTAAAGAAGGCAGGGATGGGACACTGGAGAAGTAAAGAAAGCAGGAAATACCTTTTCCATAATGCAGTTGTGGTAGTGTTGCAGGACCATGGCCAGGATGCCATCTAAATGTGTGAAGATGTCTCCCTTGCTCTCTAAAATAATCTTGCTGTAGCTTAAGTAGATGATGTTACAGACCAGCCCCCATTCCCTTTGCTGATGTTCCTGTAGGAGGAATGGAAAACTTGCCTTCTCTTCATCTTATCCTCCTTGCCTGGTGGGGAAATGGATTGGCTAGATGGCACAGAAGGGAAGACAAGGTTGTGGAATGGTGAACAGCTGGGAGAAAGGTGGTACAGCTGGTGATACAAGGGCCTGAAGCTTGGGCATAAGGGAGTGTGGGAAATGGAGAAGAGGATACAATTTCCCCACAGTTGGTCAGAGGGTAATAGAAGCATCTATAGGTGAGTCACAGGCCTCAGAGAAGTGGGGAGTCTAGGGAAATGGGGATGCCTCAGAAAGTTTTGTGTGGGAGGCTGGCAGAGCTCCCAGGAATGCCATCACCTTCATTAGTTTGAGGATGAATGATGAGTCCTTGTCAGTGAGGACAGCACTATATACTTGCAGTTGGTCCAGGACTATCTTCAGATGTTTCATGGACACGATACTGAGCGCCACAGCAATGCCCTGTAATGGGGATAGCTTCAACCTCTTGCCACAGCTAAGGGTTAGACAGGCACTCTTTGTGCTCTCCCAGAACCAGGGATTTAGAGAGAGGATGGGAGAGAAAAAAGAAAGAAAATAAATGGAAGGAAAATTTGGTTCCCCTGACTTGAACTACTTAAATCCAGATGGAGAACAAACCATCCTTGCAAGAAGTAATTCTAGAAGCAAATTACAAGAAACAGACCCTTAATTATAGATTAAAAAATTGATGGCTACCAGAGAGGAGGTAGGTAGGAGGATAGGGGAATTAGAGGATGGGGATTAAAGAGCACATTTATGATTAAAAAAAAAAAAACAACCTCTAAAAGATAGATCGATAAAGACACACAGGGCTTGTCAAAATTCAAGAGTCTGATTCTTGTATTTTTCATACTAATTGACAACACCCAGAAAAGCCCTTCTAAGTATCATGGACCAGAGGAGAACCATCCCCCATAATGTTTGTGAACTGTGGGCCCTCATACGCATATGAATTAACCTATGAATTCAGTAGAGGTTTATTTGGTGCCTAATGCATGGGGGAAAAGCAAATTATCCTAGAGTCACAGATTTGCAAAATTTTAGGATTATCATATGGAACACTGCAGGATAAAGAATACTTATAGGCACTAGTAATTCAGAGAAGGGTTGTGAGGAGGGAGCAGAAGGGAAGAGCAAATCCAAGGCATATTATCAACAGAACTGGATGGATGATCAGAGGAAATGGAAGAGAGAAGACAATGCCAATATTTCTAACCCAGGAGAACAGGAAACAGCAGTAACCGACTAAAATGGGCAGGTGGAAATGTGTCTTGTCTAGAGGTGGGGAGAGAGAAAGGAAGGAGTTCCTGCATGTGTCTTGTGGGACATAGTGGAAGGACAACTAAGTGAAAAATGCTGTCATGGGGACAGATGACTGAGTGGGTGCCAAGAGCAAGGGAAGCTTGGGGATTCTATAGCTCTCGCTGGAAACAGTCTAATTAAGTTCTTGCTCCTGAGTCTTGTCTTGGGATATCATGTCATGTGGGAATGCCCACTTCCCTCCTTCTCCTAATCTAGACCCAACTAGCCCTACCACCCCACGTAGCCACTTTATGTGTCTGTGACCACTCATGTTGCCTTTAGTAAGGCTATTTTGTGTAGTCAGCTATTTTCTTCCTATACATGTCTGCCTCCTCAATGATTCTGTTTGCATCTTGGGCTTGGTAGTCATGATGGTGATGGGTGCTCTGAAAATCTGGGAGGGAAGGGGTATTGAAGAGGTGAAGCCTGAGAGCATGGGCACCAATTCTATCAGTAAGCAACACATAGAGAGTGCTTGTGTGCCAGGCATTGTTCTAGGAGCTTTTACATTTTTAATCCTGAAAGTCATCCTATAACACAGATTCCATGGTATTCCCACCAAAAATACATCATCTAAGCCTAATCATGAGGAAATACGAGACAAACCAAAAATGAGCTACATTCTACAAAATAAATGGTCCATACAGTTTTAAATGTCATGATCGTGAAAAATAAAAACTGAGGAACTGTTCCAGATTAAAAATATTAAAGATAGCCTGGGTGGCTCAGCGGTTGAGCATCTGCCTTCAGCTCAGGTTGTGATCCTGGAGTTCCAGTATTGAGTCCTACATCCGGGTCCCTGCATGGAGCCTGCTTTTCCTCCCTCTGCCTGTGTCTCTGCCTCTCTCTGTGTCTCTCATGAATAAATAAATAAAACCTTTAAAAAATATATTAAAGATAAATGATAACTAAATGCATTATTTGATTCTAAATTAGATCCCACACCAGAGGGAAAAAAATGTTTTTCTTTTGCTGTAAAAAAACAATGGTAGGGCATTTGGCCATTTTCTGATTAGGTCTATAAATTAGATAATAGTACAATAGCAATGTTAACATCCTAATTTTGACCACTGTGTTCTGATTATGTAAGAGAATATCATTATTTTTAGGCAGTATACCCTAAAGTATTTAGGGGTAAATGTGCATCATGACTGCAACTTCCTAAAATGATTCAGAACATAAAATAATAATAAAAAAATAACTTGTCCAAGGGCACACTAAAAGTGGCAGAGCTAGAATTCCAACCCAGATTGTCTAGCTTGCCAGGTCTCAGCTTTTAACTCTTTTAACTACTTTGTCATCCTGTGTCTTAAAGGAAAAATGTTTCTCCTTTGCCATTTCTTCCACTTCACCTCCCTCTCCTGAAGCTCTTCGTGGACAGTTTGTAGGATGGAAGAGATCATCATCTTTATCAGTGTCATATTCCTTGAGGTCCGCAGGGTGAATCCAAAGAATTTATATAGAAAAGCCTAGGAGAAGTGAAAGTGCAGGGTCATGCATAGCTTGGAATGAAGTTAAGGTAGCTTGAGGGATACCCAAACTTGTTTGAAACTTCAGCCAGCACCTTCCTCACTGCCCCATCCTCCACACTGGACCTTCTATTCTCTGGGGAAATCTGGATAAGGCAGTAATCCTACAGAGCATGGGCTCAGTAGGCAAAGGAACCACCATTGCATCCCTGAAGCTAGAGGTAAGAGAAAGCTGTATTTCTAATTTCTTAGCCTCTTAGGATATGGATCATCCCTTTAGGAACTCACTCTGATCCCCATACTTCTCATTTCCAGCTAGGAAATAAGTTCCTTACATCAGTGTTTTATAGCTTTCAGAGAACAGATCTTTCACCTCCTTGGTTAAATTTATTCCTAGGTATTTTATTTTTTCTTGCAATTGTAAATGAGATTATTTTCTTAATTTCTCTTTCTGATGTTTCATTAAGTGAAAAGAAATGCCACATATTTCTGTATATTAATTCTGTATCCTTTACTGAATTCATTTGTCAGTTCCAGTAAATGTTTTGGTGGAGTCTTTAGGATTTTCTATACATAAGATCATGTCATCTGCAAATAATGAAAGTTTTGCTTCTTCCTTGCCCACTTGGATGGCTTTAATTTCTTTTTCTTGTCTGATTGCTGTGGCTAGGACTTCCAGCACTACGTTGAATAAAAGCGGTGAGAGTGGATATCCTTGTTTTTGGTTTTAGGGGAAAAGCTCTCAGTTTTTCACCATTGAATATTATGTTAGCCATCATATATCATATATGGTTTGTCTTATGTTGAAATATGTTCTTTCTAAACTTACTTTGAGAGTTTTTATCATGAATGGATGTTGTACTTTGTCAAATGCTTTTTCTGCATCTATTGAGATGATCGTATGGTTTTTATCCTTTCTCTTATTAATGTGAAACATCATGTTGATGGATTTGTGAATATTGAACCACCCTTGCATCCCTGGAATAAATATCACTTAATCATGGTGAATGATTTTGGATTATGTTTGCCAACATTTTTCTAAGCATTTTTGCATCTATGTTCATCAGAGATATTGGCCTGTGGTTTTCTTTTTCTATAATGCCCTTAGCTACTTTTGGTATCATGATAATGGCACAAATATGCAAAGATATTCTATGCTCATGGATTCAAAGAACCAATATTGTTAAAATGTCCATATTAGCCAAAGTAGTCTACAAACTTAACGCAACCCCCATCAAAATACCAACAGCATTTGTCACAGAACTAGAACAATCCTAAAATTTGTATAGAATCACACACAAAAAAGCAGACAAACAAACAAAAAAAAACTGAATTAGCCAAAGCAATTTTGAAAAAGAACAAAGCGGGAAAAGTATCACAATCCCAGATTTCAAACTTTACTATAGAGCTGTAGTGATCGGGATCCCTGGGTGGCGCAGCGGTTTGGCGCCTGCCTTTGGCCCAGGGCGCGATCCTGGAGACCCGGGATCGAATCCCACATTGGGCTCCCGGTGCATGGAGCCTGCTTCTCCCTCTGCCTATGTCTCTGCCTCTCTCTCTTTCTCTCTCTGTGACTATCATAAATAAATAAAAAAAAAATTTAAAAAAAAAAAGCTGTAGTGATCAAAACAGTATGGTACTGGCACAAAAATAGGCACATAAACCAATAAAACAGAATAGGGAGTCCAGAAACAAACCCACATTTTTATGGTCAATTAATCTATGACAAACAAGTCAAGAATATACAATGGGAAAAAGATAGTCTTTTCAACAAATGATGTTGGGAAAACTGGATAGCTAATGCACAAGAATGAAACTGAACCACTTTCTTTTTTAAAAAAATATTTTTATTTATTTATTTATTCATGAGAGACACAGAGAGACAGAGAGAGAAGCAGGCTCCATGAAGGGAGCCTGATGTGGGACTAGATCCTGAGACTCCAGGACCATGCCCTGGGCTGAAGGCGGCGCTAAACCTCTGAGCCATCCAGGGAATCCCCTGAACCACTTTCTTATACCATACACAGAAATAAACTCAAAGTGGATTTAAGACATAAATGTGAGATTTGGAACCATAAAATTCCTGAGAGGAAACACAGGCAGTAATTTCTTTGACATCAGCCATAGAAACATTTCTCTAGGTAAGTCTCCTCAGGCAAGGGAAACAAAAGCAAAGTTAAATTATTGGGACCATGCCAAAATAAAAATCTGCACAGTGAAGGAAACCATCAACAAAACAAAAATGTAACCTATTGAATGGGAGAAGATATTTACAAATGATATATTTGATAAGGAGTTAATATCCAAAGTATATTAAAAATTTATATAACTCAACACCAAAAAAAGCAAATAATCCAATTAAAAATGGTCAAAGGACCTAAATAGACATCTTTTCAAAGAAGACATATATATGGTGGGTAAACACATGAAAAGATGACCAACAGGCAAATTGAACTCCAATTAAAAAAATTTTAAAAAAGATGACCAACATCATTAATTATCAGGGAAATGCAAATCAAAACCACAATGAGACACATCTTACATGTGTCGGAATGGCTAAAATAAAAAACACAAGAAATAACAAGAGTTTATAGAGATGGGGAGGAAAAGGAATCCTTGTGCACTGTTGGTCAGAATTCAAACTGGTGTAACCGCTGTGGAAAACAGTATGGACATTTGTCAAAAAATTAAAGATAGACTAACCCTATAATCCAGCAATTCCACTACTCACTTGTCTTTAAGCAGGATAGACTCTGTAATGTGGTATTTACCCAAAGAAAACGAAGACGCTAATTCAAAAAGATATATTCCCCCTAATGTTGGTTGCAGAATTATTTATAATAGCCAAGATATGGGAGCAACCCAGTCCATTGATAGATGAATGGATAAAGATGTGGAATGGGGTATTATGCAGCCTTGAAAAGAATGAAATTGGGAACCCTGGGGGGCGGGGGCTCAGCGGTTTAGCGCTGCCTTCAGCATAGGGCCTGATCCTGGAGTTCCTGAATTGAGTCGCATATCAGGTTCCCTGCATGGAGACTGCTTCTCCCTCTGCCTGTGTCTCTGCCTCTCTCTCTCTCTCTCTCTCTCTGTCTCTCTCTCTGTCTCTCATGAATAAACAAATAAAAATCTTTAAAAAAAAAGAAATAAAGAAAGAAAAGAATGAAATCTTGCCATTTGCAACCACATGGATGGACCTAGAGGGTATAATGCTAAGTGAAATAGAGAAAAACAAATACCATATGATTTCACTCACATGCAGAATTTCAGAAATGAAACCCAAATGAACATAGAAAAAAGAGACCAACAAAATATAGACTCTTAAATACAGAGAACAAACTGATGGTTGCCAGAGGGGAGGTGGGTGGGGGGACTTAAGAGTGCACTTATCTTGATGAGCACTGAGAGATGCATAGAATTATTGAATCACTATATTGTACACCTGAAACTAAAATAACACTATATGTTGGTTATACTTGAAAAAAAGTAATTTTAAAAAATAAAAGGTAAAATAAATTTTAATAACACAGCTTCACTTGAAAAAATTAACATTAGAAACAGTTCCTTAAATTTGCATAATTTTAAAATTAAAATAGCATAATCAAAAAAGTATTTTTATGTAATCTTTATCTCTCCCTCTTCTGAATTTCAGTAACCTTTATCCTTGTTTACTATGCCTTGCCCTGTCTACCTTGTAATATCCATATTTATGTACTCAAACACTTTCCTACCTCAGGGTTTCTGCATTTCCTGTTTCCCTTGTCTGGAATCTTCCTTGGGTTCTTCAAAATGCTGTCTCACTCTCATCTGTCTGACCCTAGTTCGTTGAGCCTTTTGTAACCAACTAAGCTCCTCTCTAGTTCACTGTCCTGCCTCTCTTGTTCAAAGCTTTATCACAATCACTAGTCATCTTGTTTATGTGTTTGTTAGTTCTTAACTTGACCCAATCTCTTATCTCCAATGAGAATAAAGCTCAGGAGCAATGTATGTGCTGTTCATTGCTCTGCTCCAGTGCTAACACAGTAGAAAAACAGGGTATACCAGATGTTCAATGAATGTGTCACCTCTCCCCCTAGAAGCCCCTGCTGGTTGGGCACCTTTTCTTCCCCTAGTAGATGCATTGTCCAGACCCGAGGTTTCTTTCCCTTCCCTGGCTGTAGGTACCCTTGTGAGCAGTGCCCACCTGGCAGCCTTTTCAGGCCTCCTTGCCTGGAAATACTTGAGAGTTACATTCTTCTCTCTCCTATCCCTGCCCCATACTAACCGTGGGAGCCTGGAGCAGTGGCAGAGAGGTGGAGGGTGGGGAGGTACAAAAGCCCCCCCCCCTTACTTGTCTTTAAGCAGGATAGACGCTGCAGTGTAGTTTCCATCCAGGTCTCCCCACATCCTTGCTCAGCCTCTCCTCTTCCTAACATCCTTCCTTTACTTAATCACAGCATCTCCTGAGAGCACCTTCTTGCTAAATCACTTGGCAAGGAATCCCACCTTAGGCTCTGCTTCTATGAAACCTAACCTAAATCACCTGCTTCTCTGCTTAGCTAGCAAATTACTGCTTAGCTGGCAGATTACTCAGCTTCCCAGACTTATTAATTCTTCTGTAGAGTGACTGATCTTCCCAGTTTGCTGAGGACTGAGACATTTCCTAGTATGCTGGACTTTCAGAGCTAAAACCGGGACAGTCTTGAGCAAACAGAGATGGTAGACCACTTTTGAGAAAGTGGTCTGGCCAGCCCCCACTGGCTTAGTAAACAGCCCTTCTCTGTGCTCTTAAGCATACAGTGCACATTCCAATCCTGACACCACACTTACTATGATTGTCCACTCTCTCCTCTGTTCACTCAAGCAGACAGTGATTTCCTGAAGGTCGAGTCAGTGTCTTTTACATGAGTGCTCTGTGCCTACTCCATGCCTGCTGTGGTGTGGGCATTTAGTACATATTTTTAATAATGTAATTGATAAAATCAGAATTCCTGCTTGCTTCATTTTTCCATCTATAAAGCTTTGCACATAGCAGGTGCTTCATAAATACTTGTTAGTAATTAGAGAACTAATAATCAGTCTTCAAAATAAAGCCTCTTCCCTGGGAGATATCCCAAAGCCCAAATAAAGTGTTGCTCAGTGACAGGAAAACAAGATAAAAAAATCAAGGAACCTGAATTCAGGTGCTAACTTTACCAATAAGTTGCTTAAGACTCTGAATCCTCTAGATTGTGTTTCTCCATCTGTGAATAGGGACAATGAGCTGTCTTGGTTACTTGGTCTTTTGCACAGATATCTTTGTCTATCCTCACCCACTCTCCTGTGAAATAGAAGTTGTTTTTGCCACTGCCCGAGGAAGGCAACTGAAATCTCACAAAGGCTAAGACACTCGACCCAGACTGCACCAGGAGCACAGGAAAAACCAGGATGGGAACAAAGCCTTCACCAGCACAGATCTTGAGCTCTGTGAGCAAAGGAGCCCCTCTTCCTCAGTCAACTCTGCAGCCCTAACATCACACACAGTCCCTAATCTGTGGTATTCCCTCAAATATTACTTTGGACTAACTTGTTTCAATCTTTTTGATCTGTCAATAATCTTTCCACTGCACCCAAGTACCAGCTCTATTATTTGACCTCTGAATTACTGGGAGGCTCACTTAAAACAACAGATGACAAAGTTCTTGATAAAATCTAAAACTCTAAGCAAATGTAAGACATCAATATTTTTGCTGTTCCTGTGTGTCCAGCAGCTCCTTGTCCTCCCCATCTCTCCATTCCCCAACGCCCAGAAACATGGGTTGGCTTTTCCCACAAGACCTGTACTTCAAGTACATTTCTGTATTCCTTGCCCACCAAGCTCCTCGACACCACCCTTCACTCCCATTTTCCTCCTTGCAACTACCACCCCCAGCTGTATGGTATGCCCCACCTGCGTACACACACACACACACACACACATACCTTCTCCTCATCATCGCTGAAATAATTTATCCTCTCCAAGACAACCTTGATGAGTTGCTCCAGCCAGCTGTCATCATCAATGGCCACTAATGACTGACTTGAAAACTGAGTAAGAGGAAGGGAGAAGAGGACCACAGAGAACAGTGGCCAGGCTTTTCTGCCTCATGCAAGTGGGTCAGAAAGAAGCAAAAGACAAGGAGAAATGGTCTGTAAATATGAAAAAACAGCTCAAGAAATGGAGAAGATCTGAAGTACCTAAGTGGGTTAGTCAGGGCTGGAGAATGGCAGTATAGTGACAATGATGGTAATGCCAACCATATGTGTGAAACCCTTTACACTTTATAAGGCTCTCCCTCTCCTATGTTATCCTATTTAATTCTGGGAGGAATTATTTCCATTTTTCCAGATGAAGGAGCTGATGCCTGCAAAGGCTAAATGACTTGCCCAAGGACACATAGCTATGGCCCCATTCCCTTCCTCTCTCTTGACAGTAGGATTTTGAGGGTGTGGAGGGTAAGTTAAAGCTTAGGATATAGTCAAAGATCCTGATGCAGAGGCCAGGAGTCAAGGGTGCCCAGAAAGAAGTCTCTTGAGTAGGGAGGTTCCTCAATCATGTCTCAGTCTCAGGGGGGTCTAGGGCCTCTTCTCCCTCAGGGTCCTGAAGAGGGGAAAGAAAGCAAGTATGGAGAAAGGTATGTCTCTTAGAGTACGCACCTGGAGCAGCCTGTCCTCCCACTCCTCCTGATTCAGATTCTTCTCAGTGTGATCTAGGAAAGGAGAGAGTATGGGGATCTGCCCGACCAGAAACCCCCAGCTAGGGAGAAAGAACCAACATTTAAATGCTATTCCAGGGGCTTTATGCCCATAATCTCATTTATTTTTCATCATGATCCTACAAGATAACTGTTCTCCCACTTTACAGAGGCTCCAGGAAAAGTAGGACTTTTCAAAGGTCAGACACACCCAGCTGCCAGGTTTTAGAGTAATGATACAAATCTGGGTCTCTCTGGTTCCAAAGCCCACACTGTTTCCTGATTTTTCTGCCCACAAGAAGGGGGTGTTCTGAGACCTCTGGAGTCACAGAACTCTGTATTTCATATCTTCTCAGTGCAGAACATGGTCCGAATAAGCAGACCTATCCAAATGGCATCTCAGAAAGACAGAAACTGATCCCAGTTCTCCTCACTCCAAGGAAGATCCGTTCTGCACCTTGGGACTTCATCTTTTCTGGAGTGTGCCCCACTGCCCCAGCTCCATTCCTCCCACCTTTTAGCCAACACCTCACCATCCAGTATCTGCAACATCTGGGGGATCTTCTTCATCCACAGCTGGCCCACGCTCGAGTTGATAATGGGGTGCAAGGAGGTGATAGGATGCAGGGCATATAGTAGCCTTAGAGAGCTTACACCAAACTCCCCTTCTCTATAGGGTTTCACAGAAAGCACCTAAGAAACAAGAAAAGTAAACAGGAGGCAGAGAAAGGATTTAAGGAAAGAGAAGGAAGAAAATCAGAACAAATCCATAGAATGGTAGAGCTGAAGCTTAGACCCTTTCCATTCTTTTCCACCTGTGAGGTCCTGCATGTTTTGCAAGATGCTCTCAAAACGTTGCCTCCTCTCTGACTCCGGGAGAACAAGTCAGACCCTTGCTCTTCCAAGATCCCATTGCAATCCGTGTATTCCTCTAACATCTATCACACTGCATTATGGATAGTTATGGCCAGGCTTGTCTTCCCCACTAAAACTGTGAACACTTCAAGGGCAGTTCTACACCTTGTCTTTCCAAGTGTTCATAATGTCTAGAAAATAATTTCTGGGTAAACACAGAAACTCAGAACATACTTGCTGAGAAAATCAGAGATCCAGAAAGGCATGTGGACTTGTCCAAGATCAAGAGAGAACAGATCACAATAAGGCCACATAGGAGACAGGCCAGGCCTTCTCCCTTACCCTATCTTACCCTTGCCCTATCTTCAGGTCCCAGCACTATGCTCCCAGTTCCCTCCTCCAGGCTGTTTGGCTTTGATCACCTCTCCCCAAAGCCCCTTTGATCTTTGGCCCCACTCTTTATTCCATACCCAGCACAATGCCTGGAATAGAATAGTACTCAGTTATTCATGGAATTAGGGGATGGATGGATAGATGGATGGATGGAAGGATGGATGGATGGGTAGTATTCATCCTGTACATTCATCACTTACCACAAGATGAATCAGGAGTTTCTGTGGGGAGATGAATTGGGTAGCTGAGTCAAAGAGAGGATAAAAGAAGAGGACAGAGTCAATGCCAGCTCCAGAATGCCCAACCCTCAACCCACCCAGCAGCCCACCATCCATTCTTCAGGGGAGGAGAAAAAGCAAAATGGAGAGTGATTATTGGTGCCATTACCATAGGGATTGTGACATTATGACTTAGCCTAAAACCAAACCATTTTCAGTATAAAATACATGCACACACACACACACAACCCTTACACCTGGCAGAATGGCTACTATCAAAGACAAAAAAAAAAAAACCAAGTATTGGCAAGAATATGGAGAAAAGGGAATGCTCATACACCATTGGTGGAAATGCAAACTGATGCGGCCACTGTGGAAAACAGTACAGAGTTTCCTCAAAAAAACTAAAAATAGGGAAGTCTGGGTGGCTCAGTGGTTGAGCGTCTGCCTTGGGCTCAGGTTATGGTCCCAGGTCCAGGGATAAAGTCCTACATCAGGCTCCCTGCAGGGAGTCTGCTTCTTCCTCTGTCTGTGTCTCTCTCTGTGTCTCTCATGAATAAATAAATACAATCTTTTTTTAAAAAACCCTAAGAATAGAAATCACATATGATCTAGTAATTCCACCAGTGGGTATTTACCCAAGGAAACAAAAACATTAATTTGAAAAGATACATGTACCCTTATGTTTATTGCAGCACTATTTTTTAGCACTATTTTTTTTGAAGATTTTATTTATTTATTCATGAGAAATACACAGACAGAGAGGCAGAGACATAGGCAGAGGGAGAAGCAGGCTCCTCGCAGAGAGCCTGATGTGGGACTAGATCCCAGGACTCCAGGATCACACCCTGAGCCAAAGGCAGACGCCCAACTGCTGAGCCACCCAGGCGTCCCTACAGCACTATTTATAATAGTTAAGAGGTGGAAGCAGCCTGTGCGTCCATCAATAGATTAATGGATAAAGAAGATGTGGTGTGTGTATACACACACACACACACACACATACACAGGCACTGGAATATTACTTGACTATAAAAAAGAATGATATCTTGCCATTTATGACAACATGAATGGACCTAGAGGGTGTTATGCTAAGTAAAAGAAGCCTGACAAAGAAAGATAAATACCATATAATTTCAATTATATGTGGAACCTACAAAACAAAACAAATGAACAAACAAAAATAGAAATAGAATCATAAATACAGAGAACAACAGTTACTTGCTAGAGGTGAGGGATAAGCAAGATAGGTGAAGGGTCGTAAGAGGTACAAACTTCCAATTATAAAATAAATAAGTCGGGATCCCTGGGTGGCACAGCGGTTTGGCGCCTGCCTTTGGCCCAGGGCGCGATCCTGGGGACCCCGGATCGAGTCCCACGTCAGGCTCCTGGTGCATGGAGCCTGCTTTTCCCTCTGCCTGTGTCTCTGCCTCTCTCTCTCTCTCTCTCTCTCTCTCTCTCTCTCTGTGACTATCATAAATAAATAAAAATTTAAAAAATAAAATAAATAAGTCATGGGATGAAAAGTATAGAATAGGGAATATAGTCAACAATACTGTAATGATACTTATGGTGACAGATGGTGACTACACTTATCATAGTGAGCATAGAGTGATGTATAGAATTGTCAAATCACTACACTGTACAGCTGAAACTAATAAAATATTGTATGTTACCTATGCTGCAATAAAAAAAATTTTTTTAAGTAAATTGAGAGTAGGGAAGAAGGGCACTGTCCTGCCAAAGCATGGTAAATGGTCACTACTTGTGAGTGCATTCTATTATTAGTCTGTATTTTGAAAGAATTTCCCACTATTTTGAGAAATTGTAATCACATTTTATCGAATATAGCCTTTCATATTTGAAAATCCTAGGTCCATCTTTTAAATGTCTATTGTTCACATTGATTATAATCAGAACTCTCAACACTGGGAAAGTAATTGGCTACCTTTCCTCCTTTTAAACCCTAAGAAAGAATGCTTATTTTCCAAACACGCAAGCACCACCCCCAGTAATGTGCCAAACAGATTTCTTCACCCCAACTCTGACTCCTACTAGAGCCAGAGGTCAGGGATGGGGTGAGCGCAAAGTGAGGCTCAGAGCTGGGGTGAAGGAAGAGCTAAGGGTCAGGAATGCCTCTGTACACATTACTTTGTAATTAACAACCAAGGTCTTCTATCTCTACTCCAGTGTTTCAAGACGAGGAATAAAGGCAAGAAGGATTTGTGTGGGGGGTTGCTCCCTCCCAGAGGAATCCCCTTTTCATCCATGTGAAGGGCCAAATGGCATCAAGCATCTGCCCCAACCCTTTGCCTTCCTCTTCCACCCTGGCCCAGGCTCACAGCCATGGCCTACCCCCCGCACCCCGCAGATCTGTACCTTCTCCCCACACCCATTATCCTTTGCCTTCCTCTTCCACCCTGGTCCAGGCTCACAGCCATGGCCTACCCCCCGCACCCCCACCCCACAGCAGATCTGTACCTTCTCCCCACACCCATTATCCCTTTGAGTCTCAGCCTGCCTCCCACTCTACCCTCCTGCCTGTGGCAACTGGCCCCCTCCACAGTCTCCCCCACCTGTGTACTTACGGCTCAGGTGGAAGCTGCTGAGGTAGGGCACCTGGCCCCGGGACCGGGCCCTCAGAGCCATTTTTGTAGCTGTCTTACTCAGCAGCACAAAGGCCAAGGTGTTGCTGGGTTGGCACGCCAAGGTGATCAGTTTGGGCAAGGACACCTGGCAGATGTGGCAAGAGATTCAACGTCAAGCTCCAAATCAGCCCCCACCGTAAGTTCTCCAGCCCTGTGGCTTTGTCTTCCTTTCCCAGAGGGTCATTTGAGACCTATAAGCACAGCCTATTCCCCCATCCCATTCATAGTTCCCCTTCTCTCTCACCCTCTCTTCCTTTTTACTTCATGTTGGCAAAACATAACCAATGTCCTGATTAAAATTACAGCAGGAAGGATATGATCAAGTAGAGGGGCTTCTTGAAATTTGGAATTGTGTGACTTGTAATTGCCTCCACTAGGGAACATTGCAGGGGCAGAAGACATGGTAGTGGTCAGGACACAGTTTGCCAGGAGGGAGAGGAAGTCTCTGGGAAGAAGAGTAAATCACAGCTGTCCTTTTCCTCCCACAGCCCCTGACTCAACTCTGACCCATACAACAACTCATAGGAGTCTCCCAAGAATCCTTAGAGGTTGCCAAGAGGGTGGATAATCACCTGCTGGTGTTTTGTTTTGTTTTGTTTTGTTTTGTTTTACAGGAGAGCAAATTACTCAAGATTTTATAGCCAGAAACTGGCCAAGCAGGACCCAGGCTCAGGTTTCCAGGTCTACTATCCAGTGATCCTCTGCTCCACTGAGCCACTTTTCAGAGGAGCCCCAGGCAGTTGAGTGGGAACAGATGGAGGTGGAGAGCATGCAAAGGACAGTACGGGGCTAGACAGAGTGGGGGATGAGGAGGGGCAGGCAGAAAGAATGCAATCTGGGGATCAAGGTAGTGATCTGGGCAGCCCGGGAAGGAGGAAATGGAGAGGCTTCTTTGACCCTAGCTGTTTGTACCATCTGTAGGATTTTGGAACACAAAATTTGGATGTCTTCTTCATTCTGGAATAAGAAAAGGAAAGATTTATTATATTTTTTAAAGATTTATTTATTTATTTATTTATTTATTTATTTATTTATTTACGATAGACGGGGGGGCGGGGGGCAGAGACACAGGCAGAGGGATAAGCAGGCTCCATACAGGGAGCCCAACGTGGGACTCGATCCCGGGTCTCCAGGATCACACCCTGGGCCAAAGGCAGTCGCCAAACTGCTGAGCCACCCAGGGATCCCCAAGAAAAGGAAAGATTTAAATCTGAAACCAGTGCTAGCTGAGTCTTCTGGTACAAAACCTCCACTGACTCAGAGTTTTAGATGCCAAAGCTCCTTCCCACTGTGCCAACCATGTCCTTTTCTTCTTTCCCTTCTGCTCCCAAGCCTACCCTCTCTTGCTCCCATCCTCTGACCACTCCCAGCCTGGCCCCTGCTCACTGAGCAGTCAGACTCGCTGAGCCTGATGACATAGTTGATGATGAAGTTCCCCTGGGGTAAGGCCAAGTAGTCATGCTGGCCCAGCATCTCAATGAAGTTCAGGAGGGCCTTCTGCACCTGTGGGGGTGAGATAGGAAGACACATCAGTATGGCCCTTCATGTTCCGGGTGAGAATGCAGAGGACCAGAGCAGGTGAGGGGTATCTTCAAGGGACTCAGATCTCCCAACTTCAAGCCCAGTGTGACTCTTCACCAGCCACTGAACCTGACCACCCTACTCCAGTCTGAAGTTCTAGCCCATTTCAGTTCCTACCATCCTCCTGAAGAACTGTAAGCACTGAGCTTGCCCACACCATAACTATGATAAGAAATTGGCAGAAGGGATCCTGGAGACCCGGGATCGAATCCCACGTCGGGCTCCCGGTGCATGGAGCCTGCTTCTCCCTCTGCCTGTGTCTCTGCCTCTCTCTCTCTCTCTCTCTCTCTCTCTTTCTGACTATCATGAATAAATAAAAATTAAAAAAAAAAAAAGAAATTGGCAGAAGGATTGGGTAGGGAGAGATCAGAGTTCAAGAAAAGTTCTGGCCTTCATAGAAAGGCCAGGAATGAATCCCACAAGTTCTGAGGGCCTGGCCTTCAAAGTCTCAGTCTCTCTGCCAACCTGCTGAAGATTTAGGACTTTTGAGGTATGATGCCATTGTTGTCCACTTGGCACCCTAAACCACTGCTCTTCTCCTTCCTGTCCTACATGATTCAGAGCTGGGAGCCGTCTCTGATGCCTCCAATGCTGGCAAAGCTTGTAAAAAATATGGCTTCTCAGACCCCATCCTAGATATGACATTTGAGGTCTTCCCTCCCCAAGTAAATTGAATTTTTAGGGGGCAGAATTAGTATTCTTTAGAGCTTTGGGTCCCCACTGACAAGCCTCAGCAAATAGGTTGGAACTACCTGTCCACTTCTTAAATCCTCCTCAGGCTCTGAAAGCCCAAATGGAACCCATGGGCAGAGTGTGAGGCCAGGAGGGGTTTAGTAAGGGGATTCCTTACCTCTCTCCTCATCCACGAACCACTGTCCCCTCACCATTTTACCCAAGTTCAAGGTCTCAAGAAAGCAATTACCCTCCCAGCCCAAACATTCAGCCCTTCTGCTCACTGGTTTGAGATCCTCCTGGATCATGATTATCACTGAATGCATCACTTCACTCTGCAGTTGCTCTGTCTGGGGCACTAGAAAAAAGACACATGCAACTGGGGATCAGTTTCCTCCCACCTCCTCTGTTGTTTGAGGAGGCACAAGAAGACAGACAGGTGGGAGGAATTTCAGGTACTGTCCTGGTCTTCAAAGGCCAGGTAGAGACCCCAGAGATTATCTCCATCACCCCTCTGCTTCAAACCAGACTAAAGAGTGACCTAAAAACAGGATTTTCATCAAGCTAGCATAGGAGCCCCAGTCCTTTCTGGCATCCTGTGACTGCCTACCTCTCCAGTCAAGCTGTTCCCCCTCCCCGTAAATCTCGACCTTTAGAACTATGACCACCGCTCTTCTTTTTGTGAATTCCCTCTCCAAACTCACCATTATAATCTCTTTCCCTGCTCTGAGTACATGTCCTACACAGAGCCCATCCCATTTCCTGATTGACCCCCTCTATATTCCAATTACACATAACTATGGTCACATTTAAACAACTTTTCACATGTTTTCTTGCTTTGTTTCACTGTCTGAACACCCTTATATTCCCTACTCAATAGCAAACTGCTTGAGAGCAGGGACTACATGTCATTTAAGTATTAATGTGTAGTGCCTTACATTGTGCTAAGCACACAGCGAAGGTTTGGCAAACACTTGATGGAGTCGAAGCTTATTCCCCAAGATAATAATCATAGGCTAATCCATTATAAAACTGACTGCATAGTGGGAGCTGGTCTAAGCACCTCACATATATCTTCTCATTTAATCTTCACTAAAAACCCTAAAGGTAGGTATTAATATTACCTCCATTTTCAGAGCTATTTTCAGGTGAGAAAATAGAGGCACAGACTAAAAGCAATCTTCCCCAGTTTGCACAGCTAATAAGAAGTGAAGCCAAGATTTATACCTATTGAGTTTACTATGAGTTTGCATTAACCTTAAAACTGTGCCTTTAACTTCCACATGGGACTGTCTCCTAGCAAAAAGAGCTCTCATAGGAAAGAAGATTCCCAGGACCAGGCCAATTCTCACTCACCTTCCTGGAACACATGCATGAAAACTTGAAGGGCTGATACTATCTTGGCTGGATCACTGGTTTGCATGTTCTTTCGTATTAAGGATATCACCTGATCGTTGTATAACTGGACTATCAGAAGGGTGCAAATACAAGGGAATCAAGGGTATGTTTAAGTAGCAAGTGGTAAGTAGAAGTAAATCATGCTTATAGCAAATCATGATGCCATGAACTAGATAGATTAGGGTCCTTTAGGTTGGAGAAAAGAAGGAGGAAAAAAGAGAGTCAGCGTTTGTCTAGCATTTACCATGTGCCAAGCATGGGGCCAGATACTTTCCCTGAGCTGGGCCCTATCTCTCCTCGCCTGCTCCACCCTGGGCCCTCCCATAGGTCAGCACACCTCTCCTGAGTATCAGTGTTGAAAAATTACAAGATCACCTTTCTAAGCTGGGGATCAGTGAAGGAGAAAGGGAAGCCAATTTAGGTGAAGGGACTGGAGCTATGTCTATATCCCTGGAGATTCACTGTGTTTCAAGCAAAGCTCACACAGATTACTTTGGATCTTGTCTAGAAAGATAGAAGCCCCTTATGGGAACCTAGGTCCCTGCTCCAGTCCAGGGACTGTGATCCTGAGTGCCCACCCACACAAATACCTGGGTTTAGAGAACTGTTAACTTACTCAGGTTGTAGAAAGACCTCAGGGCAAGGCTGTGGTTCTGTACAGAGAGAGAATCTGAGTCCTTGACTGTTTCACTCAGCTGTGGGGAGACCAAGGCCATTAGATCTGGGAGGACTGAAACTAGGGGCCATGAGTGTGGATCAGGAAACAAAGGCATGCATCCGTGGAAGGGATGGTGCTTAGCCATAAGGGAGGACAGGAAAACAGAACCAGGAATCCACATTCCCAGCCCCAAAGGGAAGAAGACAGTGGCAAACAAATTAAACATACAGAAGGTAACACTTTTTTACAAAATGTTCAATTGTCTTCTTCCTACTCTAGGCTGCAATACAGAGGGCCTGACATTTCCCACAGGCATGATAGAGTAGTTTGAACGTTCTGCCCTTTAACCAGAGATTAGGGGGAGCAACAAAAGTCTGTGACCTTCAAGAAATACACAGAATGTACCCAATTTACCTCATGGAGAATATCCCAGTCTGTGCTCAGAATCTGGGTATTTACTTGTTCCAGAGAAACCTGAGATGTGTATGGTTAAGGTCACCATGTGAAAGATACCTGCATTTGTGGAGGTTGTGACCTGGGCTAGGGTAGCCATCTCCAAAGAAGAGAGAAAGAGCAAGCCCAGGATTCTTCTAGCCCCACAGCACTCACCTGTTTGAACAGCACGCCTATAATATTTTCCAGCTGGGATTCCAAGTTTATACCTCCATAGCCACTAAGAGCCAGAGCCTCTGTAAGTTGGCAGATACACTGTGTGCATAAGGACAGAGTAAGCATAAGTTAGCCCAGACTTTCCACAGCCTCAAAAGAAATCCTCTGTCCTCACAGCTTCTCTTCAAAGATGGCCCCAAGTCATCATAGTTTCACACTGTGCTCTTGGACCTCCCCCAAAAAAGCTCAGGGTCTAGTTCTTTCATAGCCAAATATAGCCATCAACCTGCCCTTCCACTTTGCCCAGTAAGCTACACTTATTTCCAAATAATCTCATCATTCCACAGAAACCTTTAGGGCACTTCATTTCAAGTATTGGCTGACTTCAAAGGAGCAGGATAAATTAATCATTGCCAAAGCAAAAACTCGTTCTATGGTTCTGTGACTTTCAAAATTCTGAAAACCAAGTCTAAAAGTCTGTTTCTACTTTCTACCTAATGGATTCTATTATTTTGTGGGTTCTTTTTATTGCTGGTATGAGAGTTCTACAAATAACCTTAGTTTTCACATGTGTAAACACTCCATTTGATTTTCTTAAAACAGGTTTATTGACAATTAATTGACACACAAAAAATTGTACATATTTATAGTGTACAATTTAATAAGCTTTGATAAATGTATAAACTTATGAAACCATCACCACAATTAACATAATGAACATATCCACCACACCTAAAGTTTCCTCTTATATCTTTGTAATTCTTCCTTCCCTCCCCTCCCAGGACCTTTCCTTTCCCCGGGTGAACACTGACTTGCTTTCTGCCACTACTGACCTATCATTTCCTTTATAAGAAACTGCAAAACTGTTTTCCGAAGTAGTTTGCCAATTTAATCCTAACAGATGTGTAATAGCATCTCATGGTGATTTTAAATTCCCTAACGTCTATACAATGTTGAGCAACTTTTCCTGTGCTGACTTGACATCCTCATATCTTCTTTGGTGAAGTATATATTCAAGGTTTTTTTTTTTTTTTGCCCACTTTTAAAATTATTTGTATTGGGTTTTGAGGGTTCTTTATATATTCTGGATGTCTACGTGATTTGCAAATATTTTCTCCCAGTCTGAGGCCTGTTTTTTCTTTCTAATAGTACCTTTCTAAGAACAGAAGTTACTCACTTTAATGAAGTCCACTTTACTCATTTGTTCTTTTATGGATCATGTTGTGGCTAAGATATCTTTGCTTACCCCCAGTTCACACAAATTTCTCCTGTTTCCATCTAGAACTTTGCTAGTTTTAGGGTTTACATTTAAATGTGAGCCATTTTGAGTTAATTTTTGTACATGGTATGAGATGTGGAATGAAGTTTATCCTTTTGTGTATGGATAACCAAATGTTCCAGCACCATTTGTTGAAGAGACTGTCCTTTTTCCAAAGAATTGCCTTTTCACCTTTGCCAAGAAAATCAATTGACAGTAAATGTGTAGCTCTATTTCTGGAATCTCCACTCAGTTCCACTTATCCATTCATCTGTCTAAATGCCAGTACTATAGTCTCCATTGTTGTAGTTTTATAAGTCATTCTTCTTTCTGTAAACTTTTTTGGCTATATTGGGTCTTTTGAATTTCCATATGAATTTTAGAATCAGCTTGCTAGGATTTTGATTGGGATTGCAATGAATCTGGGGCACCTGGCTGGGTTAGTTCCATCAGTGGAACGCATGAGACTCTTGATCTTAAGGTTAAGGGTATAAGCCTCATGTTTAATATAGAGTTTACATAAAAATGAGATTTAAAAAAAGTATTGCAATGAATCTGCAGATCAACTTGGGAAGAATTGATACCTAATCAATATTGGATCTTGGTACATGAATACTGCATATGTTTCTATTTATTTAAGTCTTCTTTAATTTTCCTCAGCAATGATTAGCAGTTTCCAATGTACACGTATTACCTATCTTTTTTCAGATTTATTCCTAAGCATTTCATATTTTTATACAGATTATCATGTTACCTGTAAATAAAGACAACTATACTTCCTTTCCAATCTGTGTGCCAATTTGATAGTGCTCAGATCTTACATACACTTTCTGATCATCTCTCATTCTATCAATTGTTGAAGAGGGATGTTTAAATCTCATTAGCTATAACTCTTTGTTATATTAGTGGTTGCTACAGGGTTTATAGCATATGTTTTTAACTTATCCCAGTCAATTTTCAAGTGATATTACATTATTTTATGTACACTAAGTATAGGTATACTTACACTACACTTTGTGCTATTGTTGTCATATATATATATATATTTATATAGTTTAAAGATTTTATTTATTTACTCATGAGAGACACAGAGAGAGAGAGGCAGAGACACAACAGAGGGAGAAGCAGGCTCCCTGCAGGGAGCCAGATGTGGGACTCGATCCCTGGACCCCTGGATCATGCCCTGAGCCAAAGGCAGACGCTCAACCACTGAGCCACCCATGCATTCCTATTGTCATATATTTTACTTCTATCTGAAATAAACTCCACACTACATTGTTATAACTTTTGCTTAAATAGTTACCTTTTAAAGAGATTTTTTAAATAAGGAAAAATATGTATTTACTCACACAGTTACCATTCCGGTTCTCTTCATTCTTTTATATAAATTCATAATTCCATCTGGCATCATTTTCCTTGTGCCTGAAGGACTTCTTTTAACATTTCTACTGAGTCTACTGGTGATGAATTCTTTCAGTTTCTTTATATGTGAAAAATTTTTTTCATTCATTCTGAAATGTATTACCACTAAGCACAGAATTCTAGGATATAGTGTTTTACTTTCAGTACCTTGAATTCTACTATGTTCTCACTTCCATTGTTTCCAATGAGAAATAGGCTATTATCTTTACTCCTTTGCATGAAACATGTTATTATTGTTTGGTTTTGTTTTTACTTTCTGCATTTAAGATTTTCTCTTTTTCACTAGTCTTGGGAAATTTGATTATGGTATGGCTTGATGTGGTTATTTTTATATTTCTTGTGTTTGGAGTCCACTTAATGCCTTGGAAATGTGAATTTATCATTTTATTCAGATTTGGAAATTTTCAACCACTATTTCTTCAAATATTTTTTTCTGTCTTTCCCTTTTTTGGTGGGACTTCTACTAAACATAAATTAGGCTGCTTGAAGTTGTCCATATCTCACTGAAGCTTCTTCCTTCTCCTTCTTTTTATCACTGTTTCATTTTGTATAATTTTTATTGCTATGTCTTCAAGTTAATCAATCTTTTCTTTTCCAATCTAGCTTTCAAACCTACAGAGTTACAGTTATAATACTTTTTTTAATGTTCTTGTCTGCTATTTCTAACATCTGTGTGAGTTCTGGGTCAGTCTGGGTTGATTTTTCTCCCTATTATAAATCAGTTTTCCACACCTTTGCATGCCTGGTGATTTTTTATTTAAAGCCATTCATAGTGAATTTACCATATTGAGTGCTGGATATTTTGTATTCCTATACTCTTGAATTTCTTCCAGGATGCAGTTACTTGGAAATAATTTGATTTGGGGTGGGGGTCTTGCTTTTAAGATTAGACCATAAGAGTAGTCAGCCTGTTTTTAATTTTGCCCTACCTTCTCAGTATTTGACCCAATGCCTGTGAATTATAAAAGCTTCAGGCTGATTGGTGGGAACAGGCACTATTCCTGGTCCTGTGTAAGTGCCGGCTGCTGTTCTCTCAATTCTTTGTTCTTTTCCTCATCTGAGACAGTTTCCTCACATGCATGTACTGTTTAATATTCTGCCCTATAAACTCTAGCTGCCTTGGCCTCCTGGATTTTCATTGCCATCTTGTCAACTCAGGAAGTCCACCAGACTCTTTCTGGGGGTTTTTTCCCTATGCCACCACCTGGAAATTCTCTTAAGAAAATTAGGTGGGGCAATAGGGCTCACTTCATTTCTTTCCTGATCCTCAGGAATCACTGTTCTTTGTTACCTGATGTCCAATGTTTTAAAAACCATCATTTCATATATTTTATCCAACTTTTTAGTTGTTTCAAGCAAGAGGGTAAATTTGACCCCAGTTACTCCATCTTTACCAGAAGCAGAAATTCCTCCACTGGGTTTTGAATATTCAACATTTCCTTTCCTTTCATATACCTGATGGATTCCCATCACGGCCAGCTCGTTAAAATAGAGTTGGTTAGTGCTGGTTGATGTCCAAACAAAATTATGCTATGGACTGACAACTATCTTGATTCTTAATCACCATCCCCTGGAGTGAGAGAGGAGGAGGAGGGAGAAGGGGAAAGGGGACTGTCAAAAACATTTCCACCGTCAGCCAAGATGGAGGGTAGACTATCCACACAATCTGCAGACTGATAGTTGGGATACAAATTTCATCCTCTAACTGGCTAATTGGCTACACAGAACAAACCTTTGTTATGAATTCATAGACCTTACTCTAGGCAACACACAGACATGTGCCAGGAGGGAGAGTAAACAAGAGATTGTGTGGTTGGTCCACTAATACGCAAAACTTAGAGAACCTATGTGAGAAAGGTCATCTCTTTCTCACGAGGAAAGTGCATTTGAGGTAGTGGTGTAATGGTAGACTGCAAACTGTAGTCCCTGGAAACTCGGTGCTAAGGAGTGTTGCACTATTAAAAAAAAAAATTCCTCATCTTGGAGATTCACAAATGCACATTAGCATATTTAGCAACCCTGAAAAATATGCCTCTCAGATGCCTATTCTGAGGTGCATAATTGACCATTATCTCCAGCTGTCATGCTCTAAAATCCATTACTGTGTTAAAACTGAAGCCAGCTTCCCACAGGTTTCTCCCAGCCAGTGACGGAGTTTGGCAGCCCATTATTAAGGCAGGCCTACTCCTTCAAGACATGGGACTTTTCTGATGAGTGACTTTAGTTTAGTGACTCCCTGTTGGCCTTACTGAAACTTTCTTAGAATTACACTGTAGGGGTGCCTGGGTAGCTCAGTGGTTGAAGGTCTGCCTTTGATTCAGGTCATGATCCTGGGGTCCTGGGATGAAGTCCTGCATGGGGATCCCTGGAAAGATTCAGCTTCTCCCTCTGCCTGTGTCTCTGCCTCTCTCTGTGTGTCTTTAATGAATAAATAAATAAAATCTTAAAAAAAAAAAAGA